AATGAAGAACACTTAGAAAAAAAGAAAATGAGAGTTCCAGTAACACTGTACTATGTCATTTTCCAAGAGTGCAGAAGGTGTGGCTGGCTCCCATGTGCAATTCTCTGTTCCACTTGGCACAGATAGAAGATGCTAACAACCTTTCCACAAGCGTACGCTGGCCAGAAAACTGTTGTACTGCAGTAGCTTATTTACCGTGCTTCAACTAAAGATTATACCATTAAGAAGAACTCCTGTCCTCCATAATTCCCAGCTTGTGCCATCCCTCACAGGGCCAAACTAGGTCTGACAGCCTGACGTGTGTCAGTATATGAGTTGTGCTGGTTTCCTCCACACTGGTAGTGGGAGCTGTTTCAAGCTCAGGTGGGGTGCTGGACTCTTCCCCTCCTCATCAAAACCCTTCTCTCACACTCTTTTTCTCCCAGTGGGATTCCTTAGAATCTCACAGCCTCACTGAGAGGAAAACAGCAGCTGGGAGGAACTTGGGCCAAGAAAAGGTTCAGATACTTTTCCTGCCTCATCCTGCCCCAGGGTAGGTCCCACTCCAATGCCACTCTGCAGTAAAACAGTGGCAGTCGAATTTATATGCCTTTCTGCTGCCAGTACATTTAGTTTGCTGGACAGTTGCCACTCAGAGTGTGCTAAATGCAGCGGCTGAGGCTAAGCACTTTTGGCGGGACAACCAAGCTGGGTGACCCAGGAGAGTCCCGATAGGCCTGCAGTATATGCAGCCCCCCCTTTCTTGCATAGACCTGCCTATCATAATGATGGGTATTTCACAAGTGTTTTCGAATAACCAAGGCAGAAGATGCCGTTACATGAGGTTACATGTATAATAGCCTGATTCTGTGACCTTCTGTTATCAACTGGTGGAAAATTCCAATGACAAGGTTTACAGGAAATGCGGGTTTGAATTCCGGTGATTCTCAGATCCAGTACTCAACATTCTGGGGATAATTGCTGCAGGAATGTCAGCCTGAAGGGAACCGGTAAGCACAGCACAGGCTCCTGCACCTGCTGAGTTTGATAAGGTTAAAGATGGGGGCACTGAAAGAAGTGGTGTCATTCTTTGAATCCCCTGTGCTGGACTGAGCGTGCAGAAGAACAGAAGCTCAGGGCAGTGCAGGCAGGGCAGTGCCAATGGGTATACAGTGTTCAGAAAATCTGGGTGGCCAGAAATAAGATGATCATCCAGTGTATGGCTTTCAGATCTTCTCCTGCAACACAGGCTAGAGGGAGAACTCTGCAAACTATGGTGCGCACGGCTGAGCATGGGATAGGCGCTCGTGGCTGCACCACAAGAGAAGGTGACTCTTTCCTATCACAGCTGCTGGGGTTGGGGTGGGGGGACTGCCTGTCTTCAGCCAAGCCACACCTCCTTAGCAGACTAATCCTATGCCAGATGTGGCCAACTCCTCCTAGAACACCTTAATCTGGACGCCTTTGGCACTCCTGGATCTGAAAAGGGATGCCATTGTCCGTTCCTTTTTTTTTTTAATAAGTTTTATTCTTAATATATACCTAACCAAAAAAAAAGCATCAATCATCGAAAACATCAGACCTACTGGGTCAGCCCCCCCACATTTTTTTCTTTTTATGTTAAACTATAAACATATTTAAGTCTATGCGTAGTTCTGTTTCTCTAGCCAATGATAAAAAGAGTCCCAGGTTTGATAGAAATCTGTATCTTCTTTCTCCTTCAGAGACAAAGTCAATCTGTCCATTTCCGCACAGGCCAAGATCTTTTTTAGAATCAGTTCATTGGTAGGTGGCTCTTCACTCTTCCAGTGTTGGGCAAATGCAATCCTCGCCGTAGTAGTTACATGTAGAGTCAAATACATTGCTTGTTTACTAAGATCATCAGGTACAATACCTAATAACCCATTGTCCATTCCAAGCTGGCTTTTCCAGGGCTGCTTTGTCTTTGCCTGGTTTAACAGGGCTGGCAAGTTTTAGAAGCTCTCAGGTAAATGAAGGATCTTGGATGCAGGTGTTTTGAATATAATGCTAGATGGGTCTTATACATAAGATAAAGAGCTGGGTACTTTATTAGAGGCTGTAAACACTTCACTTCCCTCAGTGCAGTGATCTGGTTCTCATCCATGTCTTTGATCTACAAGAGCCATCTGAAAAAGATTTTGAACAAGCAATACTAGTCAACGAATGTTGCCCTCCCACGTTTTGCTGAAGGCTTTCCACTAAAAAACAGGCAATGTTATTTTGGCCATGTTTACTCAGAAGTAAACGCCTCTGTGTTTGATGGCGCTTTCTGTGCACTCTGTTAGCTTCAGACTGGAGTCTGAATTGCATCATAAATGTGTTTGGGCACATGCGCACATCCATTTATTTCTGTAGAGAATGGCTGATGCATCGCTGTCCATTTGAGCAGAATAGACCCAAATGGGCACACTGTAATTATCACTGATATTATAGTATCGTATCACTGAGAATAGCAGGCTCATGTACAATTCTTAAGGAACCCCCAACCTCATCACAGACCTCAATTATTTGCCCTCCCCCAATGGAACAAAGCCTTGGGTAAATTTTCCCAAATCCTTCCATGACATTCTTTCTTGACGCTTTCTGCGTGTGTCTAGCACATTGACAATTGCCGCGGGGGAGTGGGGGAATCTGATGCTAGGATGAAATATTTACAGTGCAGTACCTGTCCCGGAATTACCTGAGCCAACTCAGATTACCACTCAGTAACACTGTGCCACAGAGGAGCTTCCTAGTTTGCAGGGTTGCCGTTTGACTGGAGAAGCTGCAGACAGATAGGACTGGGCAGAGCCTGACTCTGGAGGAGTGATGGGGCTAGGGAGTCCCCGACAGGAAGAACCACCCCTTCCAAAGCCTGGCAGAGCTCACACTGGGGTGCTATTTTATTTATCTTTTCTGGTTTTCCTTCCTCCCTGCAAACCTTGGCAATGCCCATGGGGCATGTTGCAATCAGTGGGTATTAATTCACGGTTCGTAAGTTCTTGCATGAGAAGGTACTCTGGATCAAATTACATGTTTACACCTGGGTTAGATGGGCAAAGTTCAAATAGATGTTCAGCCCCAAAGCATGTGCAGCAATGTTGCCTGCTTAATCTATTTTAAATCTCTTAATCCATGTCATGGCATTTTAAAAAAGTGATCAATATTTTCAGTGAACATAGATGATAACAGAATATATATCCTTTTACGCTGACAACACTAATTTAATATAGCATTTGCAAGTTCTGTCATGTAGACTGCTAAAAGTTTGGTTTGCATTGCCACAATGAACAACTGCACATTAAGTTTAACAAAGTCATATTCATGGGTATTAGAAAATCCTGGATGGACATAGGGTTCCATTGGAGTAAGTTTCTTCAATCAATTATTTAAGAATTGTTAAACTAGTTAAAATTAGTATGTTTTGCAGATAACTACTTGGGGAGGAGTCTTAAAATGACTTCACGTACATCTTGGGCATTCCCCTACTAGGCTGCTGACCCTGGCCAAGCTCATCTGGCAGGAAGCAGCCCCTGCAAGCTGGCCAAGGAGCTGCCCAGAGCCACCTGGTTCCCAGGCCATCTCTAGTTCAAACTCCTCCAAACAATGAGGCACAGCAATCTTAGCAGCTGAAGTATTGCCAACAGATGACCGAGGATCCTTCCCAGATCTCAGCTGACATTTAGACTAAATCCAAGGCAATCTGAAAACTAAATTAATTGGAAAGCTTCTCATGGGAAACTGTGCATCCTTGGGACCTGATACCAGACAGTATGAAGGAGCAAAGGCAGCAAACTCAGGTCTCTGCAGAGCAGGGAAGTGCAGAGGAGGCCCAGAGACCACACAGGGGTCTTCCAGCCTTTTCCACTCCAGGATCAGCAGCTGCTTTGCTTTCCTCCGGCTTATGGTGGGGCCAAGTCTTGCAGTGTCTTAAAGGTTTTGAGGTGCAGAGTCAAGTAGGGGAGGCAAGAAAATGATCGCTCCTCTTCATGCCCCCCACCCAATTTTCTAAGGAATTTAAACCAAGAGTGGCTTTTTCTAGCACTAAATCTGGATGGCCAAAAGCAGCTATCTAAAGAAATCACAAGGGAGACTGAGGCAGGACCAGAGATCCTGCTGCCATGACTCCACCTCGCATGGGTGTTCATCAGCCTCTGAGTTAGGGCCCTTCCAGACACCTCTGCAGGGATGATCATAGGGCACCCAAGATGGTTTGCTTAGCAGCCGCCTTCCCCTGTGCTAGCCCAGGGATGTACAATCATGCAGACATGCCCTGTTTGCAATCCCAAACACAAATGGGAGTGCAATACTCTGGAAAGTCCCACACATTTTTGAACTTGCATCCATGTTCAGAAGTGCACAGTTGTGCAAATGCACATCTATGCAAATCCCCCCAATCAGTATTTTTATGCTTCAAGTCTATGGGGAAAATGTACAATTTTTATCTGAAGAAATGTGCATTTCCCCCTGATTAAAAAAGCAACGACCACCTTGCTCACATTTAGGAATGCAAACCGAGTGAAATGAGCTCTACAGAAAGATCCAGAGAACTGACACGACCTCGGTCACTGCATGTTCACCCATCCCTGTAAAAGCCCTGAGTGTGACAGAAGGACCTTTTCCTGTGTTCAAGCTGTAAGAGTTGTGTTAGGGATATGCGGGATGCCTTCTCTGAGACAGCACCCAAACTACGGAATTCTCTGCCCTCTGAGGTTAGAATGGCAGAATCTGTAACAGTGTTTTGCCACCCAGTGAAGGCCTTCCTGTTTAGCCAGGCATGTGTGTTCATAAATGGCTCTATTTGTTTTGTTTGTTTTGGCTGCTGCATCCCTCTGTTCCATTCTGTCATTGTTTAGGAATATTATTATACGTTATACTTGATTTTCATTGTCATTAGCCATATGGTGTAAGCTCCGAAAGGATGGGATATAAAAAAGTTACTCATTCAGTAATTATGTGCTAATAGTTTGCATTCTGCATTCAGGAAACTCTGAAAATTTCTTTTGATTTTTACTTTCTAGGGGGCAGCACTGGCACTTCTCCAACAACTTCTAGCACAGGGACCCCCTCACCTTCTGCATCTTCTCACCTTCTTTCTCCATCATGTTCACCCCCAGCCTTTCACTTGGCCCCCAACTCTTTCAATGTGGGCTGCCGGGAGAGCCAACTCTGCAACCTGAACCTCTCCGATTATCCCCCATGTGCAAGAAGCAACATGACTGCCCTGCAGAGTTACCCAGGGCTGAGCGACAGTGGATACAACCGTCTCCAGAGTGGAACCACTTCTGCCACTCAACCCTCTGAAAATTTCATGCCTCAGCGGACTCCATCGTTGATCTCAGGAATGCCTGCTCCTTCGTCACTGCCTAGCAATGGCAAGATGGAAGCCTACGGTGGCCAGCTGGGGTCATTCCCAACTTCTCAGTTCCAGTATGTCATGCAAACTGGCAACCCTGCCTCCACCTCTTCTTCTTCACATATGTTTAGTGGTGGCCACATGCAACAGAGCTCCTACAATGCCTTTTCCCTTCACAACCCTTACAACTTGTATGGATACAATTTCCCAGCTTCTCCAAGGTTGGCAGGAAGCCCTGAGAAACTGGCCACCACCCAAAGCACTTTACTTTGCTCTTCACCTTCCAATGGGGCCTTTGGAGAGAGGCAGTACCTTTCAGCAGGGATGGATCATGGGATGCATGTGATCACTCCTCCCGGCAACAGCCAGCCAACAGCCAATGCCTGTGATAACAGACAGTATGGGACTGTACCAGGGTCCTCTTCACAGATGTCTGTGCACATGGTCTAATGGGTGCTTGGAGTCATCATCTCGGTCGACAAGGAGCAAGAATCTCATCATTGCTCTTGGTGATCTCATCCCTGTTATTATTTCCACTTAAAGTAGGACTTGTATTTTAATGATAAATGGAAACGCAAGCCATCTTATAGCTATATTCCAAAGAACCTGACTGGAATCAAAAGCCTTATGTAACTAAATGGCTTCTCCTCCCAATTGACACAGGAAATGGCATTGTTTGCAGAAAACAGGAGGGGGGAACCTATATAGTATATGCAATAACTATTTGAGCTTGGTGTGAACTGTTCACAGTAGAGGCAGTCCAGTGTGTATGATGTTTCTTCTATATTTCCCAGATGCGAGCAAGAGTCCCTGAAGACCTCGTCTTACAAAGCTCCACTGCCCATAAGAGGCCACTGCTTCATCTTTCCCTTTGGTGTCATCTGCAGTTAATGAGCCAAATCCATGGCTTTCCCTCAGCCCCTGTAGAAAAAAGAACATTATAACTGAATTGCAATGTCTCTTCCTTGAGAGAGTCTTTTCCTTCTCACATTTAGGGACCTCTTGCTTTTCCCAGAGATCTCTCTTTTTTCCTTACAAATACATGTCTAACTGGAGGGGGGTGACAGGGGCCGGAAGGAAAGACAATCGTTAACATGAAAATGATTTTTCTAACTTTGCAGGCAAAATGCCTATATAATATGCTTAGCAGGGAGAGACCCACAGCTTTCATTTTGAAAATGCTGTGTAAGGGGAAATTGTGCTTAAATGAAAGTTCAGTGCTCAGGTATCATTAGCAAAGAAATAGCTATTCATGCAGCAGCAGCCATCTGTAAAAGAAGGAAGTCCCCAGGCTGGGTGTGCATTGACTGGTGGCCAGAGTAGTTCTGTGTGTGTTTGCATCCAAACTCTAGTCCCCTTCCAACCTCACAGAAAAATGCTAGGCATTAACATCAGGAGCAATAATTATTTACTGCCCAGCCTGCCAACTGGGCCAAGACATCATTGTCTTTTACAAGACCAGTTCTCCTCTGATTTCATTTTTCCTTTAACTCTTTTAAAAGCGAATAAACACTCAAGCGAAGAAGTTTAAAGTCGTGTGAAAATACAAATACCAAGTAACAGAAACTACAGTATAGAGATTTGTTTTGATGTGCTGTAGATATATGTATTTATGTCTCTAGTGTGTGGGGGAGGGAGGGGAATTCAATATTATGAATATTAAAGAGGATAATAAATGGGTATGTAAAATATATATTAAGAAAAATGTATAAAGATTTGCCCTCTGCAGGGAACTCTGTTTCTAGGTGCCAAGCACAGAACTGATGCAAAATAAACTTTTGTTCCTTTTGTGTGCTGTCTGCCTGGAAGTAATATAGAGCTTGGGAAGATTTCAAAGGGGCTGGATAATTGCGCTCATTAAGGATGAAGAGAGGAATGCTCTCAAAGGGGACTCGCCCACCAGGTGAGCCCTGCTTCTCCCAGCTTCAAGTTCTCATTACAGATGCCCATAGCAGTGGACCACATGCTGACTCAGTGTCAGCAGTATACGCTTCAGAAAGCTTGCTTGGCTTTTGATAAAATTTTACTTTTAGAGCACAACATTTCCCCAATCAACCATATGTACCTATTTGCCCTCCTTTTTAAAATAGCTATATTTAATAAGTAAAAGTGTGTTTGGGGCATGCATTCTTTCATGGGATCCAGATGGATCTTTCCAAACATGACACACCGAAAGACTGGCACAATGTGTCATTTTTAAAGCTTGCCTTTTAACAGAAGTGGATTCTGTTTACAAAGCAGATGAGCTGCCTCTCGCTGGGGTACATTTGTATACACCAAAGTTCTTTAGTGTGGCTAATCTTCTGTGTGGTAGATGAGTAGCTAATGTTCAGATTTTAGGTTTTATTTAGACCATCACTGGCAGGTTTCCCTTGTTCTAAAAATGAACCCATCTTTTCATGGTTAAGCAAATGTTTCCATGCATCGGGTACAAACTCAGTTAAAGGACCTCAGGTAGCAGCATGGCAGAGAACTTGGAGTCTGGCAAAAGATGCCAGTACTAGGGCAGATGGATTATTGGCTTGACTCAGTGGAAAGGCAGCTTGATGTGTTCATATAAATTCATGTACTCTGTATTCAGGAGCGCACAATGCACACTGCCTCTCTGGCACTGTTTAATGCTCCACCTCCTGGCTTTAGACTTACCTAATGCTGGACAGGAGATTTTTTTAGAACTGTCTAAATATTCTGAAAATAGTGCTTTCTTGGAGGTGGGCTAGAAATGTTTCCTGAGAAGCCGTTTAATTTGGGAATTTAATTTGCTTTTAACAAGAAGCCAATTAGCTGGCACTGTTTTCTCTATCTGTTTCTGATTTAGTCGCTCCTCTCCCTGCAAGGCATAGTTTTTGGTAACAGAACAGAACAAGAACAGAATAGCAGGAGAGTTAGAAGGGGCCTGGAAGGCCATGGAGTCACCCATTTGGCTTCAGGCCTTTCCATCTTAGCAAAGGCGACTCAACATGCTAGCTCAGTGTCTAGCCATGCAGACAGCCTGTTTCTTTTTCCTAAATTTGGTATTTCTAGCCTTTCATGGATCACATCATGAAAAGGATGATGTCATGACATGAAGTAGCCAGTCAGATCTGGTTGCATGAGGAGATCACCATAAGCAAATCAAATCCAGTGGGATACCTTTTTTGATGCGGCAGAAAATGTTCTTCAAATGCAGCTGTAGCTTGAGCTCAGCTCTCTTCTTGCTGTTGCTCTTCCCTGAGTGGTACCCTTTTGCCATTATCATAGGAAATGTGCCTGCTATTTTTAAATACTTTTTCAAAATGAAATGAAATTATGATGGTGATGGATTTGCACAAATATCATCCATTCATTTCTAATCGTTATTTTTCTTCTAGAAAAATCTGACTTGTTTGATACGGGAATTCTAAAAAAATCTGCATTAGCCCATTTCAAAGTTAAAACCTTTTTGCCCTTCAAGGTAACGCATTTAAATCTGTTGAGGCAGGTATATGGGTTCATCTGAAAAATTAGGTATGGCTTTACAATCTGAGGGAGAACCAGGCCAGGACTATGTAGTGTCACAGTTGATGCTTTGGAAAAGAACTTGTGCTTTCAAGTAACACATTTAGAATAAGGGAATGTGTACAGCACTTTGGGTTTATTTTAAAAATTCATTCCTTTGCATGCTCAGTTGCTTTTTAAACATATCCTAAGAGGTCAAAAGGGTCAGAACTACACAGGAAGCCATAGGTTAATGAATGTCTATGTAGTCTTGACCACCAAGCCCTGATTCAAGAGTGCCAAGCATCTGCTGCTCTTTGAGGCAAGTTGAAACTGACTATACACAATTCCCTTCCCATCTTATACATGAAGCTGGAAAGGTGGATATTGGGGAAAAGGGATTTTGTGTTTTTTAAAAATGTAGGACATGTGAGCTTTGAAGTTGCAAAGATTTGCATCTAGTTTACTTAGTGGCTGATTCCATGTGAATGGATACTGTGTTCCAGCAAAGCACATAGGTCTTTCTTCTGGAATTGGCACATGCATCCTATGCTGATGGGGAGCTGGTTCTGGAGGTGGAGCTGGTCCAGAGCATCTTGGCTGCTTGTTTGCTTCAGTTCAATGTAGCTGCTGCTAACATTGGACTTGCTCTTCCAGACAGCTGAGTAGCTGTTTGAAGGAAAGTTTTTAGTGAGTGTCACTAAAGGGCTGGAACAAAGTCAGGCCATGGCCCATGGTTGTCCAATGACTGAATTCTGGTAGGCCTCCTATTCCTGGGATTCTCACAAAGGGTTTGGAAATGGACTAAGCAAACCTTGGTCTGATCCAGCAAGGACCTTCTCTTGCTGTTAAGCAAGAGTGCATCATTTCCCAGCTTTAAGGAGCTTCTGCCTTAATCGTTTAGGGATTTTGTGTGTGCATCCTTGCCTTATACATGTGAAATGCATGGTTGGCTCAAAAGGATTCTAGTAAAAGAAAAATGTAAACCAGTGTAGTCTGACTCTAGGAATCACACCCTCTGATCTACAAGATGGAATGGGAGATGCCCAGGAAACCCTAAAACTCAGCTTTTGTTGCAGAACAATCAATATCAGTTAACCCAACAGAGTAGCTGGTATTGTTGGAGAAGACAGTGTCTCCTTTGTTCTGACAAATACAGGGCTAAAGAGAAAACTTGTGTGTAGGCACTTTTAGGAGAACTGATCCTCAATAAGAAAGAACAAGAAAGAACCAGGCCAAGGATGAGTGTTTTAAGTACATCTTGAAACAGTTGTCTGTAGATTAAGGTGCGAAAGGAGGGAAGAAAATTCCCAGCCTCAGGAAGCAAGGTGGCCTATGGGAAAGTTGTTAGAGGATGAGGTAATCTATAAAAGACTTTATTCTAATTGTGGTCAGCAGAGTTCCAATAATCTATTGGATTATAAGTGCAGCTGCTCTCTTCTTAATAAATATTGCTGGCTTTCCTCATCTGAGGTGGTTGGAAATGTTTTTTGCAGGAACTGACAGTAAGAAGAGCAGCTCCTAGAGAAGGCCACTTGGCACAAAACAAGGACAACAAACCAGGGCCCAGAGGTTTGCAGGGCCAGGCACAGATGTGATTTGGGGGACCTGGCAGGAACCATGGATGTGATGGGATCTGATGAGCAACATCGTAACCCAGGGCAGGACCTATGGTGGGAGACAGGGGCAAATCACCCCCCACATACATGGGAGTCCTAACACGAATACAGTCAGCATGAGATCATACCATAATGGAAGGCATCCATCAATATAACAATGGATTTGCTTCTCTGGGATTAAACTTGATTGCATCTTGTCGTGCTACTAAATCTGTGCATTAAGTCCACATGGAAGACGTTACATTCATGTCTGCCATAGCCCTTCTGAGTTATTCGGGGACCCCCACCCCCATCCCGAGGCCCCAGCTTCAGGCTGCTCCACGCACGGTGCCTTGAGTATGGATCCACACAGACCTCCTTTCCACCCATACCCATGACTGCACTTCAGGGTTGCTTG